TTAAAATCGAGGGTTTGCCATTTTCTTCATATTTTGAGATATAGAGCTCGGATTAAGGCGATATTTTGAAGGTTTTTCAGAGGGATTGTTGGGATTTGAGCCGTTCCGAGTCGGAAAATCGAGGGAAAGGCCTTCTTACTGATTGATTGAGTGTGGTTGAGGTAAGTGACTTGTCTAACCTCGTATGGGGTTCCCCTTAGAATTCAGCACTGTTATGGTAATTTGCAAAATGTGAAGGCCGTATACGTAAGGTGACGAGTGCGTACTCGGGCTAAATATTGAAATCTTGTTTTGCTAAGTAGTTTCCTTTTATTTCCTTAATTGAGTTACTCTAGCATGTAGTCACCATGTTTAGCCTAATTTCATATGTCTGCGTGTCTCATCTCTTGTTTGCAATTTGTACAATATACTTGGTTGAATTACCTGTTTCCTTGATTCCGTATTTATTATTTAACTATGAAATTCTTTGCTTGACATATCATTGCTTAATTTGTTATGTTTTGGTTTTCGTGATTATTGTTGAGGTGATTGCTTGGTTGTGGCACGAGGTTTCTGCCACGCGGATTGTTATTGTGGCACGAGATTTCTGTCGTGCGGATTATTATATTGGAACGAGGTTCTGCCGTGTGGATTGTTATTGTGGCATGAGGTTTTTGCCGGGTGGATTATTTTTGAGGCACAAAGTTTCTGCCGTGCGAATTGTTACTGTGGCACGAGGTTTCTGTCGTGCTGATTGTTATTGTGGCACGAGATTTCTGCCGTGCGGTTGTTATTATAAGGAAATATTGTGAGATATTTACTTTTGGGACTACGAGGCAATACCTCGGGAGTGCCCCTGTTGATTTTCTTCACTTGTTGTATTGTTTGTTGTTGTTGTTGTTCCTTAACTTGTAAGATTCTTACTTCCTTACGTGTTGTATTTGTCTTCTTGATTCCATGTTGTTACCTTTCGTAAATTTCTATCGTTACACTTTCCTGTCACTTTATTATATTATTATATCTTCTACCTTATTTCTTATTAGTCTCAGTAGGGCCCTGACCTGACCTCATCACTACTCTACCGAGGTTAGGCTTGGCACTTACTGGGTACTTTTATGGTGTACTCATACTACGCTTCTGCACATATTTTTGTGCCGATCCAGGTGCATCCTATCAGCATCGATGTTACAGTGTGGTGTTGTTGCTTGGAGACTTCAAGGTACACCTGCCCGCGTCCGCAGGCCTCGGAGTTCCCTTTTATCCCGTCTTTTCCTTGTTTCTTTATGTTTAGATAGAGAGTGATGTTTAGGATATTTGCAACATTGTATCTAGAGCTTGTGATTTATATCTACCGGGTTTTGAGAGTTGTATATACTTTGAGTTGCGGTTTATACTTTATATAGTTGTTGGCGTTTTGAGCTTTTAGATTATTATTTCAATTATTCTGCATGCTTGTTAGGCTTACCTAGTCTTAGAGAGTAGGTGCCGTCATGACATCCTACGGAAGAAAATTGGAGTCGTGACATTTTTACTTTGAATACAACTTAATTTCTTCTTGAAAAGTGTCAAGTTCATTTAATTTCACGTAAGAAATGAACCATCCTTACTTCTTTACAAACTTATTTTTAATGTGAACTTGTCACCACATCTAAGAATATTATAAGTCAAACAACTATTTATGGATGAATATATGCTTATAATGTTGACAATTTCTCTTATCCTTCAATAATGTACTATTTCTTTAAAATATTATGCATACAAAATAACAAAATTATTTTAATGAATAGTAGGTAAAATTAAAGCATATCCATAATACTTTATAATTAATTGCAATAATCCTCTTTTTGTTGTTCCATCTTCTTTGAACTGCATGCTTATTATATACAACTAGTTACCTTTTTAAGTTATTTCATAAAAAAAAAGTATAAAGGTCATAGAGGAACTGAAATTGAAAAATTTTAGTACTACAAGTATTACATTATACTTATTCTGTTTGGGTTTCTAAAAATATAAGACTCATGGATCAAATTTACTATAAGGTATATGAGATTGATGCGGGGCAATTTTTTTGTTATAAAATAATATTATAGAAAATATTTCTATAATATGCAGGGTGCAATATTTTTGCTTAATTTCTATGTGTCACTACGGGGAGAAGAATCTATGTATTATTTTATATGAGATATAATCAATATATGAATTAAACCATTAAAATAACAAAATGCCCTCATAATCTTCAAAAGTAATTTCTTTATTACATAAATTAAACACCTAGCACCATATAATCTCTTCATTAAAATTCTTGCATTACTCATTCTTCTATTAAAGATGTCCATTGTATTTTGCACCTTTTGATGTGTGTCCTATTTTACGATCTGCAACTATTTTAATTTCTTCATTTCCTTACAAAATAATAAAATTACTTCGTTTGTAAAGTTTTCATAAGGGCGAAACCAAAATACAAATAATATATCCTTTTATTCTTAGATTTATTTATTTTTAGTGTATTGGGGTAATTAGATCGTCCCAAATGTCTCACCTGTCAAGAACAGATAAAAACAAAGGGACTACGAGGAGGGGAAATGGTAGAAAACTAGGATTTGAGGATGATGTATTTGTGGTTATTTGAACGATGCTCGCCTTTTGTTCGATAAAATGTCCCAAAGTGATAGTGTGGAATGTGATGCTTAATGGCTATGCTAAAGATGAACAACCAGTGAATGATGGAGTATCTTAAACATCAATCGTCATGATATCTAGTTAAAAATACCTCCAAGAACCCCATGTGCAGCACAATATCAAGAGGATTAAAAAAAAAATAAAAGGCAAAATGATCTCGTAGCTACTTAAACTTGTACTTGTTTGTCAATCCGGTATACAAACTTGTATATTTTTTATTTGAACACTTCAACTCCGATATTTGTTAACTAATAAACCACTTTGACCGTTGACCATACCTATGTGGAGGCAACATAGCTGACATGGCCAAATTATGTGCAAATCACATTTAAAAAGCGCGTGAATGTAATACTTTGATAGAAAAATAGTAAAAAATATATAAATAATAAAAAGATAGCAAAAATAAAAAAGAAAAAGAAACCCAACACTTCCTCCCACCCCCTTCGTCTCCCTCCCCCATTCCCATTTCTTTAGTTCCATATCCAGCCCCCCAACTGCCCAATTCCATGTCGTCCCCCATCCCCTTTCCATTTCTTTCCATTATCAATCTTTACTTGAAAAGGATTAGGGCATCGATATTGTTCGATCCAATCTGGTCATTACTCCTTTCTTTTTTTTCTTTAAATTTTCGTGGCAGGGGATATTTAATTGGGTTATTTCTGGTTTGATCTATGCCAGTGAGAAGGAGGTTTGACGGATATGGTGATTAATATGGTTGAAATCAAATGGGTTAGGGGTTTTGGGCGAAAATGGTGGCTAGAAATTAACAAAATGAGTAGGTAGGCACCAAGAGTGAACTATTCATCACGGATCAGAGACATTTACCAGTAAGTTCTCCGGCCAACTCGAGTTTTCCCGTGGTCTATGAGTTTCTCGGATTTGGGGCTTTGGTCGGAGGCGTTGCCGGCAATAGTTGTTTTTACTAATTTAGGGTGGAGTGGGGTGGGAGGGGAGTTCACTAGAGAAGAGAAGTGAAAATGAAATAAAATTTTAATAAATTAATAGAAATGGGACCCACAAATAATATATGTCAAGTAATCAATAGTCTAGCATATGATGTGTTTTACATGTCACGGTAATTGATATACACGTTCGGTTGGAGGTATTTATTGGTACTCATCCTGTCAAGTTGGAGTGCTCAAATGGAAAACGTGTAAGTCTGTGTACCGGATTGGAAAACGGGTACAAGTTTAAGTGGCCACGAGGCCATTTTGCCAAAATAAAAATTAAGAGTTGACTTACTTGGCGTGAGGGCCAAGTGCCATCTTAGAAAAAGAGATGAATTAAATAAAAATTTATTTCTTAATAACTATTTAAGTTCAATAATGGCATCATTTTCTTCGCATCCAGAACCTTTCTGTTCTTCAAGATGGCATCAAGTGCTCGAGTCCTTACTAACCAAGATGTAAAAAATAGAGTTGAAGAAGCTAAAAGACTCATTCAACCCGAAAACGAAGCTCGAGCTCACATTATTGAAAAGTTAGCAGAAAAAAAAGGTAAACGGACTGCTTGAACTGATTTGCGTTCAACTATGTGAGCTAAGAACTCAGAAAAATTACAGAGGAAGAAGAAGAGATACGCGTAGAAATGAAGTCGGGGAAAAAAAGGGGATTAGATGATCTTGAGAGAGGAGGAAGGAAATTGTGTTGTATTCATTTTATTGAATTGATTACATACAATGAGTTGATCATGAGTATATATACATAACAAATATGCTCTACAGATTCTTTTATCCCTGTAACTAATACAAGGTAATTAATAACTAACTTCCTCATTTCAGTTACAAGTTTACTAAAGTACAGTTTAGTCCCTAACTTTTATATATTGCATCTTCAGTCATCAACACTCCCCCTCAAGCTAGGACTTAGTGAATATGTTCAGTACTCCTAGTTTGGAAGTAAGATACTCATGTTGCACCTTGTTTAATCCCTTAGTTAGGATATCTGCAGGTTGTTCTTTTGTAGAAATATATTGAGTTGAGACGAGGCCTTGAGTTATTTTCTCCCTTATGAAATGACAATCTATTTCTATATGTTTTGTCATTTCATGGTAAACTGGATTGGTTGCAATTTGGATTGCAGATTTGTTGTCACTGTAAATCATAACAGGTAGCTTAACTTCAGCCTTTATCTCTTCACGAGTCTCAATATCCAAACTAGTTCTGCAACAGTTGATGCCATGCTTCTATATTCTGCTTCAGCAAAACTTCTGGATATGGTAGTTTTTTTTTTTTTTGATTTCCATGAAATTAAAGAGTCACCTAGTTTGATGAGATACCATGTCACTGATTTTCTTGAGTGTGCACATGCTGCCCAGTCTGTATCACAGTATGCAGTTATTCCTTATGACTTATTGCTTGACAGTAGAATGCCTCTTCCTGGTTCCTTCTTCGCATATTTGACAATCCTCATTGCAGCATCCATGTATGATTTCTTTGGTTGATGTAAGTACTGGCTTAGTGTTTGAACACCATATGAGATGTCAAGTCTAGACATAGTTAAACATAGTAGCTTTCCAATTAATCTCTGGTAGGCATGTTGATCAGTAGAGGAATCAACAGTTGTGTCAGTTCTTGTTTTTACGAAGTGGTCATCATACCTTTTTGTAGTCAATTTGACATTGATATCAATAGGTGAAGAGGCTGGCTTGGCAGCACTTAATCCCAATTCAGAAATAAGCTCCAAAGTGTATTTTCTTTGATGCATTAGTATACCTTGAGTTGTCCTTGCAAACTCAATATATAGGAAAAACTTTAATTCTCCTAGATACTTCATTTTAAAGGCTTGTGGAAGTCTGTCCTTTGTGTCTTGAATTAGAGTAAGTGTATCTCCAGTGATGAGCATATCATCAACATACACTAATACTAGAACAACCCCTTGTTGAGTGTGTTTCAAGTTCAGTCTATGATCATATTGACTCTATTTGAACCCCATTCTCTGCAGAGCTTCTGACAGTTTTGCATTCCACTATCTAGGAGCCTGCTTTAGCCCATATAGGGATTTAAGGAGACTACATACTTATTTATTGTTCTCCCCTCTGTGTCCTAAATCCCTGTGGCAATTCTATATATATCTCATCATCAAGATCACCTTGTAGGAATGCATTATATACATCCATTTGGTGTATGAACCGTCTTTTCTTTGCAGCAAGTGTTAGAATTGTTCTAACTGTCTTCATCTTTACAACTGGAGAAAATATTTCATGGTAATCTATCCCTTCTTGTTGACTATAACCATTGGCAACTAGCCTTGCTTTGAATCTTTTAATTTCACCTATAGACTTGTATTTTACTTTGTAGATCCATTTACAGCCTATAGGTGTTTTTCCAGCTGGTAGTGAGGTGATCTCCCATGTATGATTCTTTTGTAATGCTTCAATTTTATCTTTCACAGCATCTACCCATCTTGGGTCTTTTAATGCTTCAGAGTAAGACTTTGGTTCTGTCATAGTCAAATTTTTTGCAATGTAGGCTTGATGTTGTGGATTTAGTTTATCATAGGTGATGTAGTTAGATATGGCATGAGGTGTTTCCTTTATCAATATTGAATGACACAAAATCTTTTATACATATAGGTGGTTGTTTCTCCCTTTCTAATCTTCTTTGATTTACTTGTGGTTCTACAGGAATTTATGTGTGTGGATGTACTAGATCACCTTGAGTGGGTAGTTATATTATGTCTTCCTGAGGTACTGACACTGGTGATGGAGATGCAGCTATATCAGCTTCTGGCTCTAAAGTTGTTGAACATGTTGTATAGGAATGTCATGTTCTTCAACTTGATGATCATTAGGACTAGCAATATTAAAGTATTGTCTATCATCTGTAGTATACAATTCTGTGTATAGATATTGTTGACCTTGTGTATTGTCATTGAAGATGGGCTGATTTTGTTGTTTGTTTGTACTGAGAGAGAATGGGAAGACAGTTTCTTTGAATATTACATCTCTATCAATGAAAAATTTATTTTTAGCAATGTCATAAAGGAGATAGCCTTTCTGATTTTCTACATACCCCATATGTATTGCAACTCTTGTTCTAGATAACATTTTTGTTAGTTTTTTGAACATGTTTAGCATAGCATAGGCACCCTAAGACTCTCAGATGTTGAATGGATGGCTTTCTTTTGTATAGTTTTTCAAATGGAGACTTGTGTTGTAGTATTGAACTAGGCATTCTATTAATAATGTGAACAACTGCTAGCACACACATTTTCCAGAATCAGATTGGTATAGAATCTTGAAATCTTATTGCTCTAGTGACTTCCAAAATGTGTCTATGCTTTCTTTCTGCTACCTCATTTTGTTGGGGTGTATAAAAACAGGTCTTTTGATGAATGATCCCCAATTTGCTAAACAATTCACTACAAACTGAGTTGACAAACTCTAAACCATTATCTGTTATGACCATCTTTATAATTCTATCAAATTATGTTTTAATAAGCTGAACAAATTGCTGAATAAGTACGCACACATCAGACTTCAAGGCAAACAAATAAATCCAAGTCTTGAGTGATCATCTACTATAGTCAAGAAGTATTTATATTCATCAAAAGTAGAGACTTTGTAAGGCCCTCATACATCCATATGAACTTGTTCAAAGCATTTAGTAGTCCTAATATTGCTGGTAGGAAATAGAAGCCTAGTCTGCTTTGTATATGGACATACTTTGCAATTAGCTCATCTATTTTCTATAACTTCTTGAGGATCATATAGAATTTTTTTCATTACAGAAATAGAAACATGTCCTAGTCGACTATGCCATAGTTGTATATCAACTTCTTTAATATTGATTCTGCAGTCTGAGTCTTGAACATCTAAGCTTGCAATATTTGTGTATTCCTTTGCATCAGTCGAAAACAGATACATATCATCCTTTTCTCTACCAACTCTTTTCACCATCCCACTCAAGAGATTCTGGAAAATACAAAATTTAGGGAAGAAAGCAACCATCAAATTTAGCTCTTTAGTTAGTTTAGATACAGACAAAAGGTTGTACTTAAACTGTGGTAGATGAAAAACATTTGTGATAATTTTCTTGTTAAACAGACTGCTTGTTCCTACATATGTGTGTGACTAGAGACACATCACCATTAGGTAGAAATACTTTTTTTGGTATTTCATACCTAATTATAGTATCACTATTCAAGCAGCCTCAAGCTTGACACCATATGACTGGTTGCACCCGTGTCAATTATCCATTCCTGAAGTGTCTTAGTAGCAATGCACTCATTATGCTGACCTGTTGTATTAGCTGAGTAAGTTGATGTTGCTTTTTCTTTGTTTATTATTTGTAGAAGCTGATTGTACTGCTCTTTAGTAAACAATGTAGGGACAATGTTGGCATTCTGTCCATTAAGAGTGTCTGATTTGTGTTGCATTTCAGAGTAATCCATTATTGGTTTAGTCGATGGAAAGCTAGCTTTTGGAAAATCATTGTAGCCATCACTCTGACCAGTCTGAGAAGTACAACTGTCCATCTGTACATTATAAGTTGCAGATTGCCCAAATTTCCTTTTCTTGAATTCAAAAGGGTATCCTACCACCATATAGCAGGTTTCTTTGGTATGCCCCTTAAGTTTGCATATTTCACACTGCAAATTATAGTTCTTCTTGAACTTGTGGTTCTAGTTTCCACTACCATTTCTGGTGAACATAGCAACTTCAGAGTTTCCTAGCATTATTGTAGGATTAGCACCTAGGTTACCAGTCACATTTTTGACTGACTTTTGACTTTCATCACTTATAACCATAGAATAGGCTTGGTTTACAGATGGCATTGGACTCATGAGCAAGATTTGGCTTCTTGCCTTGGCATATGAGTCATTAAGCCTCATTAAGAATTGAAACAACTTCAGTTTCTACAGATGCAGTCTAAACTCTTTGGATTTTTCACAATTGCAGCTAGGAGCAGGAACTAATGCCTCAAATTTTTCCCATAAGTCTTCCAATTTTGAGAAATAGCTAGACACAAAAGTAGTTCCTTGAGATAAAGAAGCAATCTCTTTATGAACGTTAAAGGTTCTTGAACCATCAATTTTGTTAAATCGTTCATGAAATTCTCCCCAAACAGTCTGGGCATTGGTAGCATACATAATGCCTCCTAAAAGTCCTTTTGCTATTGAACACATTATCCAAGAAATAACTATGGAATTAACCCTTTCCCAATGATTTCCCATAGCTTTAAGAAAATCCTCCTTTTTACACAAGTCATCCACAAGTCCTAGTTTATTCCTTCCTAACAGAGAAAGTCTCATTGATCGAAACCAAATAGAGTAGATTTCGATACCTGTAAGTTAAAAGTTGATAATTTGCATGCCACTCACATCTGATGGATGAAGAAATAGAGGGTGACTATAGTCGATTCGCAGAGAAGCTTGACTGTTTCCTCCTCTAGTCACAGCAGCATTTGCAGTAGCTTCTTGATCTGCAGTATTGCTCATGCTTGTTTCTTTGATTTGACAGATCTTTTGTTCTTCAAATGTTTATGCGGAATTGAATCATTCTTCAAGATCTGAGGCTTTACTGCTCTGATACCATGAACTGATTTGTGTTCAACTATGTGAACTAAAAACTCAAAAAAAATTACAGATGAAGAAGAAAAAGAGATACAAGCAAAAATAAAGTCGGGGAAGAAAAGGGGATTAGATGATCTTGAGAGAGAAGGAAGAAAATTGTGTTGTATTCATTTTATTGAATTGATTACATACAATGAGTTGATCATGAGTATATATACATAACAAATCTTCTCTACGGATTCTTTTATCCCTGTAACTAACACAAGGTAGTTAATAACTACCTTCCTGATTTCAATTACAAGTTTACTAAAGTATAGTTTAGTTCCTATATTTTATATGTTGCAGCTTCAGTCTTCAACACTGCTCTCATCTCCCTCTCCCTTTATCTGATATATTTTATCTGTTTCATCTTATGTGACGGTAATTATCACGACCCAAAATCCTAACCTGCCGTGATGGCGCCTATCTCAGTACTAGGCAAGCCGACAATATCAATAACCCACGATTTCCTTTCAATTTAAAAATGTAACGCTTAATACAATACCAAAATCTAGCAAAATCCGATACAACACTCCCAAAACCTGGTGTCACTAAATACATGAGCATCTAATATGAGGACAAGTCTGGAAAATATGGTCTATAATAGTCTGAGACCAAATACAGTAAACAATGCGATAGAAAAGGAGAGATAAGGTCTGCGGAACACGGCATATACCTCAAAATCTCTTGAAAATCAACTGCACGAAATGATCAACACCCGCTATGTTCAGGAATACCTGGATCTGCACACGAAATGCAGGGTGTAGTATGAGTACAACCAACTCAGCAAGTAACAATAATAACTAAGGAACTGAAGATAATGACGAGTTACACAGTCATAGTTCACTTTCAGTAATTCCAGCAAAGAATAAACATACTTTCAAATCCTGCAGTTTAAGTCAAATCAACTTTATACAGTTCAATTTCAAGTAATCCAGATATAAATTCTTTTAGAGATTTGACAACAATGACAGATGGCAACTAAGTACAATAGCAAATGGAAAGCAAGTACAGCCTCTCATGCAACAGTCACTCAACTTATCACAATAGCTCAACCACTCGGCTCTCAGCCCTCAACACTCACACTCAATGGGTATCCACGCTCACTAGGGGTGTGTACAGACTCCGGAGGGGCTCCTACAGCCCAAGCG